AGCCACTCAATTTCAATACAGCTCCTCCTTTGCTCACTTCTTTTAGCATAAAAGACAAGAGTAAATGAACTTAGGCTGCACATTAAGAAAAAAAACTTCTTTAAAAAACTGTCCATGAGCAACACAGAATTTCCCAGGCTTTTATTTACTAATTTTTAAAGGGGAAAAACAATAAAATATTATCAATGTTAGTGCACCAATTTACTAAATGTGCATAAATGATCATTCTACACAGTAGTATTGAAATTCAGAACCTTAAACCAATGACAAAACAAAAAAAAAGCAAACTCTTTTCTCACTCAGTTATTCTCTAGATTTGCTTAAAAAAATTGTAGTTTTCCTGTGAAGAGCCTGGCTCTTGTTGTTATTTTTTGCTTGGATTTTTTTTTATATTATTATTATTATTTTATTTAGATAATGGTACAGGAGGGAAATAAGGTAGAACTCACAGAATGAATGCAAGTGTCAAGATTGTTTTGTATTATTTTTTAAGTAACAGAGCACAAAAGCAATCCTTTAACCATCTACTAACCTTAACTTGATTTGCATTGAAAAACAGGTAGAGCATAGTAGTTGAGGTTTGTGCTTCGTAAAAGCAAAAGAAATACATGGCAGTTGCAAAGCATTCTTAACCTCCAGTGATTTATTGGCCCTCAGCCATGTTATCAGGGGAATCTAATTCTTCTTTATTATTCAAATAAACCACATTTGGCACCATGGTTCCTTTTCAGAATAGCTTCACAAATAGACTGAGTAGTGTCATTTATTTGACCTTGTACTTGTGTGCTGTAGCTATAATTTTATTTGCCATTCCATAGAACAAATGCACAGAAAGCCAAAATAAGGAGATGGATTATGCTACTAGTAATACAGTACACACGTAATATACCTGTTGGTTTTGCCTGCTTTGTTTTAAAAAGGAGAAAATCTCAACAATTTTTTCTTTTTTTTTTTTCCTTCTTCATCTCTATTATCTCCTATTATGCCTGCAGCTGCACTGCTCCTTTTTAGTGAGCTCTCTTTTCAACAGGCCAGTTTGCAAACCTGGTCTGTGTCCTGGACAAGTAGGAGCAGAGCTAGGAAATATTTTAGTTTAAGGTGTGGACCTCACAGTGGGGAACAAACGCATAATATCCTCTTTGAGTAGTGAGAAGTGTTTAAGAACTTGTTTCTTGAAAGCAAAAATATCCTAGCCAGCTTATCAGCCTGTAATATTTTCTATAGACCCTGAAACCTCATATGTCTGACAGTTTTATCCTTTGTTCTGGATAGATTTTTCTGTGTATTTGTTACAATTTGTGTTTCAATATACTTTTGGCCAAAGCCTCAAACACAAAGACTTTGCAAAAGAATTGAAATCTCTTAGGTAAGCACTGATATTGACATCTAAGTGCCTGAAGGAGTGATTTGAGTGCCTCTTCAATGTCCAGATATGGTGACTCATTTTAGCCATCTACTTTTGAAATCTCATCCTATTTCTGAAAGGAAATCAGGGACTGGGTATTCAGAAAGATGGCAGTTACCCTGTTATCAAAAATTACCTGCTCACTTCAAAATGTCAGAGAATAGATGTATATCAAGACAACACATTTTTATATCACTACAGAGGTGCAGTGTAAAAAGCTGTTAGTACTGGCAAAAAGGTAAGCTACACCATCACAAGTCATGTTGTCCAGCCCAGGGAAGAAATCTTGGTGGTAGTGCACATTTCTAAACTCGTCTGGGTCTTCCAAGAAATGCTACTGTTCCTGAAACTACTGAATACTGGAAAGTATGTTGGATTATTTCAGCTTGCCCCAAGTATAATCAAGCTATGACAGTTTATGCAGACTAAGGATCTAACTGGAAGACTTTGGCCCATTTCTATTGCTTTTATTCTCTTCCTTCTCCCTCTCATTTTTTACAGCTAACTCTTGTGTCTTTCCCTCTACTTTGAAATGCACCTCTGCATTCTCTGAAACTGCTCTTATTGCAATTCCACAGTGTACTCTAAAATCCAAGTCTGCCAAAGTAACTTAAAATTGTTGGTTAGCGTTAGCTGGAAGATAAAGTGTTCAAAACATATATACCTATGGGTGTCTATATGCAAGGTACATCCATCGTAATGTCAAAAGAGTATTTATTGTAATTTTTGTTTACTGTTCAAATATACTGTTATTTTTGCCAAGAATAACTTTATTATCATCATTGCCAGGCTACCTCTCAAGATCTTGTTTTACCAGATTTCTTTACTATTAGCCCTGCAGCTATCTTTGAACATCAGCATCCATTTATTTTGTACCACTAGCTCTCAATGTTCAGAAAAGAGTAAAACTGTGTTCTGTGAATAATTGTTTTCACCTGCTGAGACTCAGTACAAGGACCATTTTGCTCTAGCTGAGACGTGAGATTTTTCTTTACAAGTACGAAACACATTGTGCATTATTTTCATGCATACTAGTTAAAAAAGAAAAAAAAAACCAGCCAAACAAGGATGAAGTCTCTAAGAAGTCATCTGACTAGAAAGTAAGACTCCAAAGTCAGCACTTGAAGAAGATGATTCTAATAAAAATGCTTATAATGTACATCTGGACTTTCTGAAGTGCAAAATTACCTAGAGGTTCTATACAAATATAGAGTTGGGGAGTATCAGGATAAGGACCTATCAATGTTTAGCTGCAGTGCAAGAAATGCAAGTCCACATGTAGCACATAGCACCATTCCAGAAATCAGGAATTCATGAGTATTTCAAGATTGTTGTAGTGCAAACAATAGCATTTCCATGTATTGTTTGAGAAATGTTTTTCTGGATATTCTTGATACTATTTTTTGTAACAAAAAACACTTTCAATAGTGATTTAGCAACAAGTAGCTACAGCATTTCTTTTGTCATTATTAAGAGACCTAGCTATATAATACTATACCAAGAGAACAATATATTAAAAATATAAATACATCTAAGAAATACAAAATATGTCCTTAAAGACAGAAGAGAAGAACAGTGAAAATCACAGTTATTTTAATAGATCTCAGTAGATTTCCTCTATTATTGTATTAAAACAATCCACAGTCTTGCTTCTGATTTTTTGGTAGCTTTTCAATCAATACTTTCAGTAGTGAATGCACGGAAACATTTGTCCTGATATATCAAATACTCTAACATGCAAAGACAATTGCTTTATTTATCTGAACCCTTGCTTGAAATGTGTATGGGGATCAAGATGAAGTGTAAAGCCTTAAAAACATTATGTAAGTTCAGAATAGGGAAAGAATTACCAAGTCCTATAATTAAAAAGACAGTGGCAGAAAATGGTTTTAACAAGAGACTAGCATAGGGTTAAAGCCAAATTTTTCTTGAACAGATGATATTTCAGATGGCCACACTATTCCAGATGCATCAATTTCCTTGAAAATCCAATCCATATATGTGCATATGCTGTGCTGGCAGGAGGACTGACTGAAATGGCCAAAACCCAAGAGCTAATATTCTTTTGGCCAGAATAATGCAATTATTATTTTCCTAGCTATCAGTCTAAGCACACAGAGCCATCTGTTATGCAAAGCAAACATACACATCTCAATTACAGAAAATGCAGTTGCCTTGACAGAATTTGGATTACACCACTAACCAGAGCTGTAAAATTTGTTTTAAGCTAGTGTATAATAGATGCCTTTCAGGAGTTTCCTAATTAGCATTTACCTGCTTAAACTAATTATCCATCTTCCTTCTTTACTGGCTTATTAAACTGCATTGGGTACTATGCATAAAACACATTAATATGAGCATAAGACAATAATAAACATTAAAGTTCCAATTCTTTACTGTATTAACAACATGGTGGCGCACCAATTTCAAAATCTGAGATTCTTGATACTAACTCCCAAACAGATTAAGGCAGGGATTAAAGTCTATTACAAAACAAGGGACATTAATGAGAGACAAGAATACTGATATGAGTTAGAAACAGCTCTGTTTCCATTTCTATCATTTGGTTTGCTAAAGCCAGCACAAAATAACAATTATTGAATTTATTACAGCCAATTGCTTGCATGTTCTTTGAGGACTCAATGAACCTCTATCCAGATTCTCACCAGATAATATTTAAAATTAGTCTTTTTCTGCACCAAAAGTTAAAATTTCCCATTTCATTGTTGTTGGGGTACAGCAAAACTGACAGTTGCCAGTGCTAATAGTTGCCTCCTCATAGCAGTATGGGTCCCATTTTAAAGGAACTGAAATAAATACTATCTCAGTTTTTCCTTTTCTCCTCAGTGTGACTCTGATAGAAGTAGATTATCCTACTCTAAAAATCATCATGCAAAATCTTTCTGCTGCATCTCTAAGTACAAGCAGAAAGAAACTATCCTTCCTAAACATTTGTGAATGCTGCAGGATTAGGAATAAGCATCAACAAGCAACTTTCCCCCCCACTCTTGTCCTGCCTTTTACTCTTTGAAAAACAGGTGTCAGCAATTAAATGAAAAAAAAAAAGCTATTATATTTTATAAATATGTCTATTCATATTAGTGCGCATTTGTGAAAGCGGCAAAATGTGTCCTTGTTGGAACCCTCCCTGCAAGACATTTTAATGGTCTCTTTCAGCATTTCTTGACTCCAAATGACTCCCTGTCATCGTGTCAGCTCCCTGGATAATGCAGGGTACTCCATAAACATCCAGTAATAGGACACAAGGGAAGTACTATTAGTGTGTCCCTTTCCTATCAGGTATAGAGGTTTAAAGTTCAAAACAACTGAGAAAAGAAACTTCATTTGTTCTCAATAAATTAATAATGATCCTTCATGGCAAAAAGTTTTCAATCACAAGATTCTCTTATCTCAATGTCCAATACTGATAAATATGTATGTCAATTACTTCTCAGGATGAACCAGATGCAACTTGAAATAACTAATTCAATAATACATACAGAATACAGAAACCAAATTATTATTTCTTTAAGAATGATAAACAGAAGAACGCATTATACACAATTATGTTCTAGAACTGAAAGCATGTACTTACTTGAGACAGGCCTAAATAGATGGAGACAGTTTCTGAAATGTACAAAAATTTTCCTTCTTGATTTAGTGCAAATACAAATCCATCCAGGGACTACAGAGTAAGGGGGGAAAAGAAAAAGTGAATAGATTAATAAAAAATTCTGAATTCCTGATAAAATAGATTCAAACAAAGGCATCACAAAACAAATTGAGGAACATGTTCTAATTTCTGTGAGTGTTTTTAATTTGAATCCTTAAGATAATTCCTTTATATTCTGTCTACGTATTAACAAACAGCATATGAGTATATTCCAAAGTTCAAGGACTTTTTGTCATGCTTACATCTGCCACATACTGTATAAAATTTATCTCAATTGCATGACAGAAAAAATATAGAAAAATAAAATGTTCTTCAATCTTTTACAGGAAGAAATAAATAAGAAAAGCAAAAAACCTTCCAATCAAATGGTATGTAAGAAGATCTCCCCCCATTCCCCACAATCAAAGCAGCAGACTTCTGCTTCCAAAAACTGAAAAAGAGAAAATAAAATCCTACCATCACTCAAACCACTATAAACCTCAATAATTTGTTCATTAATTTAGGAAGATGTTTACAGCTTAGGTCTACAGAAATGTTACAAATTTCATCCCTTTGGTGTAAAACTCTAGATTAGATTTTATTTTGAAAGGTTCAAGTCTTTGGATGTGGTTTCCATTGCAACTGCAAAAATCAAAACATGACTACACAGATTAATGCATACCTTTTGAAACATGACTGCAGTTAATAAACAAAGGACTACAGTCTAAACTGACACATGGAGTAAATCACTGCACATCAAGACAGAAACATACCTCTAGGAATAAGAGCAAATCTTCACTAGGAAGTAACTGCCTTCTGTACACTATATGTACCTTTATTTTTATGCTTTTTATGAGGCAGATTATTGGCAAACAAGTATTCACTATTGCAAAAGCCAACTCACAAAATTCCAGAAATCAGAAATATTAAAACTGCTCAGAAAATAACAAATACCCCAAATGCTGGGATGAACAAGAAACAAAAAAGTCCCGTCCCAAATATCCCCTTGGAATAAAGGTATGTGTAAAGTAAACATGTAACAGTAGCATTTGAGAGATCAGCCTGGTTTGGGAAGAAAAAAATAAGAGATGCACACAAATTTGATGGAGATATATGATGACAAATTCATGAAACCATTTCACTCCTTATCAAATACAGAACAGTGATTTCTGAGGGGGTTTAATTTTTTTATTCTTTTGCTTCTTGATCAATTTCTAACACATTGCTGGTCAGAAGCTGTCTTTGGCAAGTGTTCCCCTGCTCTGATGTAGTAGGTGGTGGAATTAGTTCAAAAATCTGTGTTTTCTAAAAAGAATAAATCAAATATTGGAAAACAAACCCTCACTAAGGACACTGCATTAAATAAAGACTCTAATTTATATTTATGAATTAATAAAAATGTAAATCTGCATAGATTTCCTTCATGTAAAAACATTTATATTATGCAAGTGATTTATGGCCTCTTCTAAATCATCATAATTTCTTTTCAAATGATTAACATCAGTTCGTTGAATTTTAACATCAATAACAGGTGGAAAATTTGGAACAGTGAAGTTCAAACTTAGATCCATACAAGGACAATCAAAATTTTTACATATTTGATCTCTCCCACTATGGATCATATCTTTTACTACTATCCACTTTCCCCGTCACAGAAAGATCAGTAGAGTAAATCTTTAAAGGTCTTGGTTCAAGTTTTCCTAATGCTCTGTTGCATATTCCTTTGAGGAAATTGGTTTAATCCTCTGTTAGAAATAAAAGTGAAAACTGTCACCCTGGTTCGCTGGCCATCTATACATGTTCTTTCTAGAACGCCATTCTCCACAAACAACAATAAATTTCCATACTGAATCAGACTAACGGCCTGCCTGCAGTGGTTGGTTTTTCCTGGGTCTGGCTGTGTGTCTAGATGCTTCAGAACAGTTTTTGAAATATGCATAATGGTTAGGTAGGCAATGACAAGCCTACTTGAATCTTCATTCTAACCTCAGGTTGTTCCTAGTTGGCATGACCATGGTATCTGATAGTCCTTATAATTATTTTTTATAACTTAGTGTGCTCAAGACCATGTTTCTCCAGTCATTTGTGTCTCTCATAAAAACAACTTTCGTCTTCTCAGTTTATTTACATATCCGGGCTTTTAGTATGGTCCCCTTGCTCTTCTACTCAAGAGTTATGTGTAGTTGGACCACATTTATGATCTGTTCTGTTTAATACACTGCTTTACTGTGTAAGGCTCTGGCATATCTGGACAGGGTTTTGCTAGGACAGTAAAAAATAATTCTCTGAGTCACTGATGGCTTTCCTGCTTCTTTTCTATGCATCATCTTTTTCAGGAATTCAGGCTTCTTAATGAAACAAACGTTTGAAGAAAGCTTTTACTACTGATTAGGCAGAAATGTTTTCCTAAGTGTTGTTTTGGAATTGGCTGAAATCAATTTTGCTGGAAAAATATAAATAAATAAAACTGTACCTGGTTGACACAACTGTACAAAGAAATTTCAGCCTTCCTGGCTAAAGCTTGGAAAGTCATCAGCAACTGGGAAGCATGTTAAAGTGAGAAGTGTTAAGACACCTTAAGCACTTGCTACTTTTTCATGCCATTGACTCCAATTCTCTCCTTTCAGTTAAACAGTTTTAATTCGTTACCCTTTTCTTCTCTTTCTTTCTGGGAGACTATTCCTTACTTTTGACTCCTAGTTTTACAAGGTAGGTACTAAGGAGGCACCACTGATGGACCAGTGGAGCACACCCACAACTCCTTTGGCTTCTTGCATGACTAGTCATTTCCCCTGCCATAAAATCAGTTCATTATGCCAAGTGAGACTACTAAATTGTGGTGAATCCTTCTTTCTCCATTTCCTTCCCCTCCTTCCTGAAGTTATGCTGGGGCACAAATACTGATGGAATTCAGCATAATATTCAATAGAGCAAAGTCAGAAAGTTTGTTTAATCGTGTTTTGAAAGAGCTACTCACTAACAGCTAATGAAACAGCTAACTACTTCCATGCCCCACATACAAAGACATTAGAACAAAGGTCCCAAGTACTAAGCTCAGGTCCTAATACCTAAGAAAAATGACAATAAAAATAGGGGGAGAAATAGCCACCTTTTAACACAAGACAGTTCCTCCCACCAGTATGAAAGGCCTGAGGTGGACCAGTTTTGTGATAATGTTGTTGTTCCTTACACAGGTCAAACAGTAGTTCTGAAGGACTGTCTCATTCGTTATTCATAGGTATTATTTATGAATATTTATTATTTAAGTAATGCGTGTTGAAATTTTTCAATTTTTCATAAAGTGTACATCCTTTGTGCATGCCAAGAGAGCAGCAGACTTCAGAGAAGGTGGCAGGCAACATAACAAAGATGATGTTATGTACTGAAGAAGGGTATGTGATACCATTGTATACTGCCTATTTAAAAACAATTTTGTTTTAATGAGAAATCTCTGGAAGTATTATTCATATTACCAATGTATAACTAAGGGCACAATAAATGCGAGAAAGGTATTGGATTTAGTCAGCTTTCAACTCTTTTAAAATGAGCGCTACAGTGTAATTTCCAGCCAGGATTTCTGAACAGTTTCACCGTAGCTCAAAGACAGATAGGATTCCCGTTTCAGATGTTCCACAGTTATCATCAACTATAATATAGAAATAGGGCCTGCTAAGGTAACTGGTTTATCATAAAATGTCCTATTTTCATTGAAGCAGAGGCCATGAATATAAAGGTAGACTGTCTTCTGTTAGGAAAAGATTCTTAATTTCTTTTTTATTTTTATAAATGAAGTTGACTGTCATAAACTCCATCCTATCCCATCTAGTGTGGCAGCTGAAAAAGGGCCAGGGTGACCCCAAATGCATATGCACTGACAACTTCTTGTTTAAACCTACACTTACTGATTTTATGCAAAATGTGATTAAAGCTGAAGTCCCCTAGTACTTCTGATTTCAGAAAACCATTATGTATTATGCTGTTTCAATCACCACAGGCTACTTTTCAATTTTTTTTTTTTTTTTTAACTGCCCCACTGTTTTCAACAGGCATCAATTAAGATTCTGGGGTCAAAGGGTTAATTACATCTTCTTACCCACTATGTAGAATTTTCTGATTATTAACCAAGGTTGGATTAAGATGAAAAAGAACCGACACAAATGTTAATGCTTGCCCCTCCTCGAGAAGATTTATCATAATACCATGCTGAAATCTATATGCTTTCTTCAAAGCTGTTAGGGAATGAAATCTTTGAGGAAACACTAAAATAAACGCTTTAAAGACATGCAAGTATCTGATTTATTGAGGCAGTTTTCTTATTACTGAAAGCTGCTCTAAACTAGCCAGACAGGACTAATACAAGATTTCCTTTGTCACACACCAGCAAGTCAATGTGGTAGACACGAAGGAAGTGACACTCAGATGTAAAAGTCGCTAGCTACAGCACCTCTGAATAATAATGCCCATAATTATAATTTATATCCTCTGACATCAGAACAATGAAAATGTAAAGCATAGGTTTTTAACCCAAAATACTAAGTGTCTCTTACAGTATTTGTGGAAAGGTGAGGTTATTTCCTCTCAGGATATGAAACCCACTGTACCACTTTGACCGAATGCACACTAATGTATAATGCATCTTACTAAATGGATTTATATTTGTCAGAGGAATTTTGTCCCAGCCATTTTTGCATATTCCTACTACAGGCAAATTTAATTCACTGGAGACTTGCTACAGTGTCCTTCTGGAGAATATCCTCATATTTCATACTATCCATGAAGTCCCTAATTCTTTTTAGTGTATTCCAATGCTGCAAAAACCCCTGTTACCCTGACCTAAACTCCAGTTAGAGTGAAGAATTACCAGTAGGCTAGGTTATTTTAATGACAGATTATTTTAAACTAAGCCTTCACCATCTGTTCCACCCCCTAATTATGAATGCAAAAAGAACATATTTCACAATTACATCAGTAAAAAGTAAGATATACATGATTTAAATGCATGCATGTGTTCTTTGTCCAATGCAGCATGCATC